ACCACTGCAGTCAAGGGCTCAGCACCTCAGCAGATTCTCTCCTTCCCCCACAATGAGGGGACACAGCACCCCCACATCTGTCCAGTCTGTCACCCCCCACCGTGGAGCCTGCTGCTGCAATATCCTGGCCCCTTCTCCCCCTCCCCCTTGCAGGACCTTTGTCACTACATCTCAGTAGCACATTGGCCCTGCCTCTTGGCTAGCTCCTCCCAGCCACTCTCCTTTGAGGGCCAGACTGTTTCTGAAGCAGGGATCTGATCGGGTCCCAGGCCTGCTAAACCCTTTGGTGACTCTGGTAGCCTGCACTTAGCTTGATCTTCAGTGCCCTCCAAGATGGGGTCCCACACACCTCTCACATCCCCACTTACAGCTCCCTTCTCTAGCCTCTGCCCAAGTGACTCACCCACCTCACCTGTCGCACAAAGCTGACTTCTGGAGATCACCTCTTTCCCACCAGCACTAAGACCCACTAAGGTGGTCCTTGCCTTTCTCTAATGGCACAGTGCCACTTGTCACTGAGCTGATTCCTCCACCTGCCCCCTTGAGAGGAGGGACTTGGACCAACTGGCTGGGTGCTGGGCCCAGAAGTGATGCCAACAGGGAGGGCAGATGTCACCACTGGGAGGAGCAAATAAAAGGAGAGGCCCAGGGATCACCCTGGAGCTGAGGGTGGCTTGGGCGCCACACAGATCTCTGGGGGAGCTGGAGCGCACAAAGCGTGAGCAGCAGTCACAGGAACTTGAGGTCCTCAAAGACAGAGCATTGCCCTCAGATGTCCTCAGGCTGAGCAGAGGAGCCCAAATGCCACAATTCATTGAGTCAAGGCCAATGCTTGAGTCCATAGACCTGAAGGACATCAGAGGCTTTTAGAGATGGATTCATTGAGAAGACAGGGACAGGACTAGAGAGGACTGAACTGCCCGCCCTCCCCCACAGTAGCAGCAGAGGGACTCACCACATCTCCCAATGCCCAGCGCCAGCCCCTCCCAATGGAGACCCACAGCCTGGGCTGGCTAGCCCTGTCCTGCCAGCCAGAGCCCACTCTGCCCAGAGGTGCTACCCCAGACCCCACATCTTCTGAGCTGTGCTCTGGGCACGGGGTAGCACAGCCTCAGATTCCTTTTTGCCTTCTGCCCCCCAGCTGGCCTAGGCAGGACTACCGAGCATCTGCCTCAGTTTCCCCATCTCCTACTTTAGTTTCCCAGGGAGACTAGGGCCTGTTTTCTTTGTGAGGACTGAATTCCTCCCCTCCCACCCATGCCCCAGCTGCATCCCAGAGGATGCCCTGAGCCCCCAGGACTGCAAAGCTACTGCCTTTGCACTAAACCCATCTAGCACCACAGCACGGCAGGTGCTGACCCCTGCCTGCCCCGGGCCATGGCTCTGACTGGGCCTGAGACCCCTGGAAGCTCTCTCCAGGGCCAT